AATAGTATGTGATTTTTTTTTAAACTTAAGAATTGTTCTATTAATGGTTATGTCTGTTATTGTAATCATGTAGTTGTTATTGTGATCATGTGACAATTACAAAGTCTTCAATCCCTATCACATAGAATTTTGATGACGAGAATGAACAGTAACAATGAAATATTATTGTTACATTCACTATCATTGTGGTTATGTTATTGTTACTGTAGCTGTTACTGTAATCGTATGGTTGTCTAGTCCACGTTACTATCTAGTTTCGTAAAATTTTGACAGTGATAGTGATTGTTACTGTAATCGTGTTGCTGTCTAGTACACCCTCATTCAATGTTGTAACCCCTACCACATTCCATGGCACCTCCAAACTCAACCATCACCCCTTACACCCCATTCGCACGAATATTGTTGTTACTGTGACAGTAACTGTTATTGTTACTATATTACTGTTATTGTTACTGTGTCGTTATTATTGTTACTGTGTCGCTATTATTGTCTAGTTTCGTAAAATTTTGACAGTGACTGTAATTATTACTATAATCGTAATTGTGTTGTTGTTTAATCTACCACCACTCTATGTTCCAGCCTAGTCACCTTCTATAACACCTCCATTCCTAACCACCGTCCTGTACACCCTACCTCCGTGGACATTGATGTTATTGTTACTGTATCATTGTTAATGTTACTGTTATTGTATTGTTGTTACTATCCATTTTGTAATATAATTATTTATTTTATTATGGATAAATTAATTTTTATATTTTTAATTGTCGTTTAAATCCCAAAAAGAACACAAAGTCAACAAGTGGCTTCCAAAATCCCCTAAACAATAATTTCAATAAAAGTTAAAAGATGATCTTAATTGGTCTTAGGGCCAGAACGACACAGCCGCATACCCTACTCGTGGATGCCACATAGCACGACGGCCACCAGTAACCGTTGGCCCGCGGGGCTCGAGGCCCAGCCCCACTGGACGTGTGACATTGCCGAACCTTAGACATAGGAGTTTTCCGGTCCGAACAGCGTGGAAAAAATAGCGAACCAGAGGAAAAGACAGCTCGGAAAGAGCCCAAGAACCACTCATCATTTCAATTTCTGCTATCTTCACTGTTACTCACAAGGTTTTTCTGCTGAATCTTGCTATCATTCCTCGTTCTTATTCATTTTGGCTATGAATTGTACCTACTTAATGTGTTTTATGATACGTGTTGAAGTTTAATTGAGTTTTGATGCATTGTAAGCATGATAGTGTATGCTGAGTAGTCTATGTAGTTTCTTCCGTTTCCCCCATAATCTCTGTTTTTCCAGAGTTGGATTTCCACGTCAACAAATTGTGTGTGTCTGTAGATGTCTCTTAATTGTTTTATTTTGCTTACACACTTGCAATAGTACACACGCATACTAGGTGTTCGATTGAATAATGATTCAACTTTCTTTTCATCATAGTTGTGGTGAATTTGATTGTAATCTAATCAATTGACAAACTTTTGCATCAATTCACATGACAGTGTGTTCGGGTTGTTTGAAAGGGGCTGAGGTTAAAGGTGTTGTGTAGATTTGAAGATATGNTCCAGAGTTGGATTTCCACGTCAACAAATTGTGTGTCTGTAGATGTCTCTTAATTGTTTTATTTTGCTTAGAAACTTGCAATAGTACACACGCACACTAGGTGTTCGATTGAATAATGATTTAACTTTCTTTTCATCATAGTTGTGGTGAATTTGATTGTAATCTAATCAATTGACAAACTTTTGCATCAATTCACATGACAGTGTGTTCGGGTTGTTTGAAAGGGGCTGAGGTTAAAGGTGTTGTGTAGATTTGAAGATATGGATCTAAAACCATTAAATGCTCAAGTGTAAATGCGCTGAAGTAACCTTTTTCTGCTGATTAAATTCAGAATGTTTTTTGAAAGAATATGCTTCAATGCTGCAATGTGGTATTAGTTTATATGTAAGAATATTTTGCAAGTAATCAACTGTTTCTCATAGAACTAGAGAATGGCTCTAGTCTACAATTGATCATAGAGCATTAATGCTTTATGTTGATTTCTACCTTTTTCTTATTCTTAACTCAATTCTAAAGCTTGTATGATATAAGTTGTGCATGAAACCAGAATGATCAACAACTGTTTCTCATAGAACTAGAGCATGGCTCTAGCCCACACTTGATCATAATGCATTCATGCTTTATGGTAATTCCTACCTCTTTTTTTTTTTTTTGGATTTTTAACTTGTTTCTAACTCCAGTATGATATAAGTAGTGCAACAAACCAGTATGACAGAATAAATTTTCTCATTTATTTGTATGCCTTTCCTTTCGTTCAATTTACCTTTTCGAGGATAGGATATGTCAAAACAAGGTTGCAAATAGAAGTGTATGCAACCTGGGTCTGACTATGATGATCCTCATGTCGTGCTTTGCGTGCAAAAGATTCTCCAATTTAAAACATCTATAACAAATATTAGTATCTCTGAGCACTAACTATAAGCCTCTTTCCCAAAAAAAGAAAAGAAAAGAAAAGAAAAAGTTTTATAAGCCTCGACTTTCTGTATTTTTGTTTAATCCCTTCAGAGGGTAGAGTAGCTTCTAAGATTTGTTGGACGAGACAGTTGTGCTCATTAGACGATTAGACTTCTTTTGATCATGCATCTTCGTGTAAGGGACAGCGGTGGCCCAACCAATATAGGGGCGTTAGGCGAAAATATTTAGTGGCACCTCAATGCTATGAAATATAATAATATAGATACGACAAAATAAATATTAAAATATTAACATATATTCATTTAAAAATTATTTTTCTTGTATTTGAGATGTAAAATTACTAGTTTTGCATTCAAGCTTTAGTTATAAAAAATCTATTAATTGAAGATAAATCTAGAGATTAAAATATAATTGAATTTGTTATCAGTTGAAAATATAGAAAAAATAGAATTGAAATTTATTAATACAACTAAATAATTTTTCAAAAAACGATTGTCAATAAGAATTTCGAATAATAAACTACTTAAACTCAATATGTTTTTCTGTTATTCTTTGTGTGTTTCTTGTGTATTTAAAAAAATAATTGAGCTAAAGAATGAACCAGATAAAAAAAAAAGTCTTGAATTTAAGTTCAGAAAAAATTATTATTTATGAAAATTAGTTGATAAGTAATTAATCAACNTGCAACAAACCAGTATGACAGAATAAATTTTCTCATTTATTTGTATGCCTTTCCTTTCGTTCAATTTACCTTTTTGAGGATAGGATATGTCAAAACAAGGTTGCAAATAGAAGTGTATGCAACCTGGGTCTGACTATGATGACCCTCGTGTCGTGCTTTGCGTGCAAAAGATTCTCCAATTTAAAACATCTATAACAAATATTAGTATCTCTGAGCACTAACTATAAGCCTCTTTCCCAAAAAAAGAAAAGAAAAGAAAAGAAAAAGTTTTATAAGCCTCGACTTTCTGTATTTTTGTTTAATCCCTTCAGAGGGTAGAGTAGCTTCTAAGATTTGTTGGACGAGACAGTTGTGCTCATTAGACGATTAGACTTCTTTTGATCATGCATCTTCGTGTAAGGGACAGCGGTGGCCCAACCAATATAGGGGCGTTAGGCGAAAATATTTAGTGGCACCTCAATGCTATGAAATATAATAATATAGATACGACAAAATAAATATTAAAATATTAACATATATTCATTTAAAAATTATTTTTCTTGTATTTGAGATGTAAAATTACTAGTTTTGCATTCAAGCTTTAGTTATAAAAAATCTATTAATTGAAGATAAATCTAGAGATTAAAATATAATTGAATTTGTTATCAGTTGAAAATATAGAAAAAATAGAATTGAAATTTATTAATACAACTAAATAATTTTTCAAAAAACGATTGTCAATAAGAATTTCGAATAATAAACTACTTAAACTCAATATGTTTTTCTGTTATTCTTTGTGTGTTTCTTGTGTATTTAAAAAAATAATTGAGCTAAAGAATGAACCAGATAAAAAAAAAAGTCTTGAATTTAAGTTCAGAAAAAATTATTATTTATGAAAATTAGTTGATAAGTAATTAATCAACTAATTGACTTTGATTGTAANATGTACTAAAGAAGAAGATAAAATTAGCGCTGGGCAGAACTGTATGTTTCTTGTTTTGAGGTAGTCTAAGTGAATTTGTGACGGTGTTTGCTTTAGGGCAGAGATGCAGAGATGGATTTAATATTCTGGGTCCTTCAAATTTGAGGCTACCATTCTGAGTCTCTTATTGTTCTGATTTCTGAATAGCCGAACTCATCTTTGCAAACGTCACGCATTCTATATAACTTCTATTCTAATTGGTGAGTCTGTTATGACTGCAATTTTTTTATGATTATTGAATATCTGTGAGGGCTACAATGTTTTTTGCATGTATAATGAATGCCCGCCCTGGAAGACCACAAGAGGGGTGACGCTTTAGGGCCTTGATCTGCAAATGCAACTGTGTGATGAATATGAGATCGACATGACAGATATGGAAGATCATGGTGGTTGAATTGCAAACTAACTTAATTTGAGGGATTTTGAAACCTGTAGAAACTGAGTAGGATATAGTGTTTGTCTGTCTTTTTCTTTTTTTTTTTTCATGTTACTATGACATCTGGTAAGTATGTTAGTTCAATGGGTGTAAGGGTCATGAGTCTAGTGCTACTTCTTGTGCTATTACTCGAATATGTACCACTGACTCCTTCGACATGATTGATAATAATATTGATCAAGAATCTTTGAAATCTTTCTGAAGTATGTAGTTGTATAATTTGTAATGACATCTGGTAAGTATGTTAGTTCAATGGGTGTAAGGGTCACGAGTCTAGTGCTACTTCTTGTACTATTACTCGAATATGTACTACTTACTGACTCCTTCTACATGATTGATAATAATATTGATCACTCATCTATGAAATCTTTCTGAAGTATTTAGTTGTATAATTTGTTTTGTGGTTCAGTTAGGACATTATTAGTGATTGTTTACATCTTAGTTTCCCAGGATTTGGGTGTTAGATTCTCAACCTATAGTTTTTCATGCCTCTGCGGATCATTTCCATCATTCAATCTGTGTATTCTACTAATGGTCTCTCAAGGGTTGGGCCATTATCAAGTTGTCGCACAATGTATGGAGATGGGAGCACTATGGATCTGAGTGATTGCTGAGAGCTGGTTAAAAAGGGAGGCTCCAACTGAGTCCAAGGGCAATTATGGAGGGTCTCATTTACTTTGAACCGCCTGGAAGAATGGTAAGGGGGACAATAACCAGGTGAAGTATTAAGTTTTGGATCCTGAATTTGATTGTCTATAATAATGATAAGTGCACGGACTTGTGTATCCTGCATCTTGCCTGCTGTAGCTCTGCCTTGATATTCTCTTGATAGAAACGGATTGGACCGGCCGGTGAACTAGACCCTAAGCCGGGCCGGTTGTAGGATTGGATCGCTCAAGTAATCAAACCGCTAAAAACCTAATTGAACTGGACAAACTTTAATAAAACCAGTGTAAATCGAACAGTTCAACCAATCCAAGCGTGTCACCTTTTGCTTTGGAATAAAACTTCTAAACTAATGCTTGGCTGGCATGAGGCTGTTAAGCCAGGGCCACACTTCTCCAACTGACAAGCTTTGGTTTATTTTATATAAAAGCACAGTGCATCTTTTTTGCAATTGTTTTCCGATGTGGGATACATTGTTAGCAGTGTAATGTTAGTCTTCTCTTATTGCTTTATAACTTTCTTTCAATCTTTTTTATCCTTTTTTTTTTGTCATCACAACATTACTATTTATGTCAATCTGGTAATTTTCCAATTTTTTTTTGTGTTCTTATTTGATCTACTATAGCATAAAAAATGTTATTTTTATATCTATTCAAATTTTTTGGTATATTCATCATTGTTAATAATATATTTTATTTTTTATTATGCAACTGGTCCAAACAGTTGACCTGACGTTTGAACCAATGAAACATTGACCCGATTCTGAGTCTGGTCCAGTTTTGATGCTTCAGACTCAAGTGTATGTTGTCATTCTTTTTTGTGCCATTATTGATTCCTTCCTTCGTAAGCAACTTGTCACATTGTATACAATAAATTATCAATTGTACTCTGTTGATTCCTGTGAAATATGAAGCAATTGGCATTTATTATTTGTGAAACATATTAAACCTGTTCTTGTCATTTTCCATCACCAATAGAGGAACCGTCACACAACAGTGTCATCATATTTGTATATTCTCTTTTGGCAGTGAGATTTAGATGTGTTGAAATGGTGATTTATTTATTGGACATCTAGCAATTGAGTTGTATATATATTGAACATTGAGACAGTTTCCATAGAGGGCTGTTTTATACCTTACTAGCAAACTCTTAGATACTAAAAATGTATGTACACTCCCACACAAGGTAAACTATCTAGTCCTAGTAGAGAAGAATTTACTAAGGTATGCAATCCTTACCTAACCGGGTATTGGAGTGAATGGGGTCAGGAAACGCGCCAACCACACATCTGAAATACACCAGAATATACCTAGGCTATGCTGAACATGAATCATGTACAGCCTGAATCCAGTTATTTGACGGCTTGCCAACTTGTAAACAATCAATGGGAGGGACTGTGGGGGTGTACAGCTCTCCAAAAGTCTGCCAACAGAATGGATCATACAGGTGGTACTGTTCTTGCAATGGTTTTAGTTCTATGGTAGTTAGGGTTACCTCCGAACATGGCATGCTGTCACTACATGCAAAGTGCACAGGTTTTACTGTGTACGTTCCTCTTATCTTCTCATAGTTGATTCCTAATAGAGCCACGGCAGATGTTTGGTTCTTGCATTTGCTTTTGTCGCAATAGAATTGATCAATTACAATTGGAAATTGGACTTCAGAAACTTGTATGTTCGAGAACAGTACTCCTTGCACTGATCCTGAGCCACCCTGCAAAAGTAGTGTTTGAGAAGGGGGCAGAGTGCTTAAGTCATACACTAGTAATAGTTTGGTGGTTCTGAATTTTTTTGACAAGAAATTCTGTCCTGTTTGAAATGGGACAAGTTCTTAAATTACATATGATCTCAAAATTCCTTCCAGATTCAATCCTTCATGTTTACTTAAAACTTTGATCATGTGTCCTTATTCATTGGTCTAATAATGAGCAAGAAGGATCTACTTGTTTTTTATATGTTTCTGAAGTCCCAAAAGCTGGTTATGTTAGATGAATTCTACCAGTCTTAACTGATGTTGTTTGACTCCTATAGTTTCTAGTCAATAAATTGTAAATGGTATCCATACCTGCCATGTTTTTATCCTGACTCCATTCATTGTGTTTTGCATCATGACGTCTCGAACAGTGATGTTCGAGACACAAGCTTTGGTGTTATCTTTNAGGCGGGTTATGTTAGATGAATTCTACCAGTCTTAACTGATGTTGTTCGACTCCTATAGTTTCTAGTCAATAAATTGTAAATGGTATCCATACCTGCCATGTTTTTATCCTGACTCCATTCATTGTGTTTTGCATCATGACGTCTCGAACAGTGATGTTCGAGACACAAGCTTTGGTGTTATCTTTTCCAAGCCCTCCAATGCTGATTCCATGTCCTGGTCCACAATTCACATTGCGGATGTATACATTTGTGCATCCAGCTTGTATAGAAACACAGTCATCTCCTGCATGAGGCATGTACATTTGAGATGTAATTTACAATAGTCTATTTGCATGGTCTAATTATGTTTATTGTATGTGATTTAATGAATGGGATGTCAGTATGCTGAGAGCTACCTAGCTCATAAGCTCTNGTTTGTATAGAAACACAGTCATCTCCTGCACGAGGCATGTACATTTGAGATGTAATTTACAATAGTCTATTTGCATGGTCTAATTATGTTTATTGTCTGTGATTTAATGAATGGGATGTCAGTATGCTGAGAGCTACCTAGCTCATAAGCTCTGTAGAAATGAGAAAGTGGAGCAAGGGCATTGGTTCTTATCTTTGAAGAATACAAAATAGAAATTGAAGGAATACATTAGAACAACAAAGGAATATGTGGGTTTTTATCTGTGGCGCCCAATGCTGTTGTAGATCTTTTCTTCGAGCATTCAAGTCCTGACAAATGTTATGTTAACTTGTGCCATGAAGCTTGTGGTGAATTAATAAGCTTTGTATCAGATAGGGATGGTTGCAATGTGTCAAAACCTTAGTGGTTGGTTACAGGGGGATGTGACTACTACAGGTTTAGTCACTGATATGATTTTTACTGTCTACAATTATAGTAATAACATCAGTTCTTTGCTACGTAATATGGTGATTAAGTGCATAATCTCCCTTCGTGACTATATATGCAAAATTGTTAGGAATGAAACTGAATAGACCCCAACCATCTACCGACAATGTATTACCGCAAGCAAGGTTTGTACTGTGGATAAGCACATCCTTGGAGTTCTGTAAGTGGATTCCATCTGTATTGGGGCTATCTCCAGGAGATGAGATACTCATATCGTAAACCGAAACTCCTATGCAGTTGTCAAACTTGAGATGGCATTGTTGACTGTTTTGGATTTTTATGCCCGTGACTGTCACGTTAAGACTCCCGTAAAACCTTAGTGCCTGTGTAGCAAAAGTACCGTTGTCAGGATTGAATGGTCAAGAAATACATTTTGGGGTTCTAGCGGTTTTCAAGTGGTCCTTACAGTTGGCTTGATGCTTGGCATTTTTCCAGCCAATGAAGTGCTTATCTGCCACAAAATTGTTGCAAAATTTTACAAAAAAATTATTATTAAAAAATGGGGAAACTAAGTGGTGACAATATGAGAGGACAGAACAGTAATTACCGGAGTCGGTGGATTTTGTTCCAACTTGGTAAGTAGTTTTGCTTCGTCATCTATAGGATCATCAAGTGGGGAATCTTGCCACCAAGCTGAGCCTCTTCCATCAACGATGCCTTTTCCTTGAATTGTGATCCCTACCAGTTTTGTAAATTGAAGCCATTGTAATGTCCCTGAACCCCAAGCTTTGGAGTTTGTTGGAGCAATTATGGTGCCGTCAAGCTGCGAAAGATTCGACGTGTAAGGATCCAAAAATATAGTAATTGTTAAGTTACATATTTTTTTTTAAAAAATTTACAATAAAATGTTTATTGAAGCTGGGGTCTAGCAAATAAGATCACATATACACTTTCTATGATTGGTGTTATTCTAGTACTGGTTGGCAATGGAGGATGGAACACTAAGTACTAATATACCTGCATGGGTAATACATTTTGACCTACAATATCACAATTACCTGAAAAACAATATTTCGTTGGCAGTAAGGACCAGAGAATGAAATGGGTCCCACAAGGAACTCGAAATCTGATGGAACGATGACCGTTGATGCCTCGACCTTACAAGCAGCTGCCCATGCATCCTGGAATGCCTGTGATGTAGCATAAAATTACATTTTTATGAGTCAATCAGATTATATTTGGTATCTATTCCTTTTTCAATTGCAGCTGGGAACTGTGTTATACATTCAATATCATACAGTTGCTAGTTGGTACAGAACTGTATACAGTTATTTTCAGAACCTGGGCCAAACTGACGTAACAAGAATAATTCGAGTGGTCCCTACTGATTTTGTTGTCCACTACAGTGGATTTCTGTNTATACATTCAATATCATACAGTTGCTAGTTGGTACAGAACTGTATACAGTTATTTTCAGAACCTGGGCCAAACTGACGAAACAAGAATAATTCGAGTGGTCCCTACTGATTTTGTTGTCCACTACAGTGGATTTCTGTTGCCTTTCCCTATATGTCGTTTCTTTTTGTAATGTTTTATATTTCTATATCTTAAATTTGTTTTTTAGTAATACAGCAGTAATATGTGCCAATTACCTACTTTTTTAATGCTTTTCTCTTCTGGAATTGATTTCCAGCTAATGTTATGACAGTGGCCTTTAACGGGGTCATTGCTAAATCAGTCTTATCGGCTTCCTCAATGGCTTTATAATGCAGGCATGAGGAAGCTAGAATGTGCCCGACTGAGTAATGCTGTTGGAATCTAAAAAACTAATCTAATGATGTGACAGTGACGTGGTTCAATCAATGGTATTGTGACCGTAATTCTTGGACTTTTTTATTGGAATTCTATCCTCTTGAATTTTTTTTATTGGAACTCTATGACTTGAACCACATCATTGTCAAATCATTAGGTCAATTTTTTAGATTTAAATAGCATTACTTGTACCTGACTATTAAAACAACCTCTGTCTGCAAGCAGACAGCTCGGGTAGCAATGGGCCACCTCTACCATAGGCATGGATTCGAACCCCCTACCGAAAAGTAGGGGAAAAAAAAAAAAAAGGACTACCAGTTGTTTTGCCGAAGGCAGTACAACGATGGACCTATTTGCCCTTAACTGCACTACTTGTGAGTTGCTAACTAAGTGGTAACCACAATTGCTGGAGCTCTGTCTGTTGGTGCCTTGCAGTGCATTTAGAATGCATGATTTTGTTTATAGCCTTCTACGTCTAACAGTCCAGGATTGACAGACAACTCAAACTACTCCACGCAAACTAAGAACTTGGACCACAATCTGCAATTCCTAGGACCTGCATTATTGTTGCGATTCCCTAAAACATCTGACTAGTTTATGAACTTGAACCAGAATGCGGATTTACCTTGGTATCATCGGTAATTCCATCCCCCTTTGCACCAAAATCTAACACGTCAAAGGTAGTTGAAGGACCATGGTTGTAACCATTATTTGGTGGGGTTGGTGGGATTTCTTCTTTGGGTTTAGGAGGTGGAGGTGATGGTGCATTTGGTGGTGGAGCTTTTGGTTTTGATTTACTACCATTGCTGTGATGCTGACTACTGTCTTGATGCTTTCCTTTCTTCTTGTACAGAGAAGTTGAAGCACTTCTGCTTTGCCTCCAATGCATTCCTCTCCTGGCACTGCAAGTATCAATGCTGGAGCACCAAACAATGAAGGCAATGGAAACCATAAATGTAAGTCTTCTTAAACTTAAACCTCTCATGTTTAGGGGTGCGTGTGTGTGTGTGTGAGAGAGAGAGAGAGGGTGATTGGGGTGAAGAGGGGTGGAGAGCTCTTTTACGTAACGGAGGAGCTTGTTTGGTGTTTATATAGGAAGAGCACAACAGAGCTTATGAAATTTTGCTGCAAAAGATTGTTTGATAGTGCCAGAAATTGATGTTTTATTCTCCCTACTGTTTTTTGAATCATTTAGGGAGTGTTTGATTTGCGTCTCAAAAAACAGTATCCGAAAACTGTATTTTGGTGTTTTTTGTGTCGCATAACTTGTTTGATTATATAATTCAAAAAATAGTTCTACGTAATAGAAAACAGTAAAACTTGTTTAGATAGTAACCCAGAAAATAATGAAAACAATAATGTGGTTGTGGTGGTAGTGGTGTTTTCTATATTCTGAAAATGTTATTTTTTAAAAACACACAAAACAAGCCTAACTTGTTCTCTTAATCTACTCATTTTTTATTCACAATTTTCAAAAAATAGTTAGTCAAACAATTTTTCTCTTAGAAACTGTAAAAATAGTTTTTGATATGTAAACCAAACAGAGCATTATTTGTGCTTCGTGGCAATATTTTGTTGCACATGGATTTGTGGCTACATTGCAAACATTTGATGTACGCAATCAAAATCAAATAATTCTCATTTCCGCGATAAAAATTAAAACTTGGGACATCTTGATGATAATTTTAGGTTTTCATAGCTTCACATACTATACTTTTTCTCTGTCGTTCGTTTTGTGGATTATAATGCATGTGTGAGTGTGAATATTATTGATATCAACATCATTCTTATTAGCATTGGTAAGGGCATTTCATGTAAAAGCCAAAAATACACACGTGAGTGGGTCTATAAATTGTCCAAGACACTGAATATAACAGCTCTTTACCATCACATGCAACGTTCACGGGCCAGAGTTTTGTACTTTGTCTTGTTAACGAGCAAGAGTGGCCTCAAACCTTAAAGCTCCAATCCGTTCAACTGTTCAACCTTTTTATCTCTTTCTTCTTTTTCTTCCTTAAAACAGTATATCCCAATCTTCAAGGGATGTGTATGTGTGTGTGTGTGAGAGAGAGAGAGAGAGAGAGAGAGTATACGACAGTTTTTTGGAAGGTTAAAAGTGCATTGTAGTTATGTTAGACATTCTCTACAAATTTGGCATGTATTCTCGAGGGAAAAATATTATTTGGACCTAATTTAAGGACAAAATCTCGAGACCTGATCAATTGCAGTTGTTGAATGAAAGTGGGTCTACCTTATTTTGGAATTCACATCTAATCTAAAAATTTCAATGAATTGAGGCTTTGATTAGTTCTCCAAATTAAGTCTCTGTAACATTGTTTTTTCTTGAGGGCACGTGTTGAAGCATGTAATAGTTATATTACACATTCTCCAACAGTTCAAGTTTTTAAATCGGTTGATATTTTAACCAGTTTTGTTAGTAGTTTTGGTGTTGTTTACAAATATGTTTCCTTCTAGATGATAATAATGATAAAGAAAAACTGCCCAACCAACATTAATTTAGTTCACAAAAGATTAACAGAGAAAAAAAAACACTTTTTGTCACATGTTTGGACCTGTTAATGTATTGTAAAGTTAAAAAGAAAAAAAACAAATAGGGGAATTATAGACACCACAATAAAATATAGGCTTTTTTGCACTTTCTTGAGTGGCTTGAGAACTTTCTAGATATATTACATCTTTTCAAAACAAGTTAAAAAAGAAGATGAGATTGTAATCTCCTAATTCTCCAAATAATACCCAATGAATGCTTCTCTCAAATTAATTTTTTTTTTTTTTATTTTCTAGTTGCAATACTCTTCCAATTCCGGAGAAAATTCACCAAGCTCCGTTTCTGTCGAGTATTGAATGAAAATTTTCTTCTTTTTGACTGGAGAATTTAGTAGAGATTTGAAGCGAAAAATATTACATGCTTTGTGCCCTCATTGTGTGCTTTGTCGATGCAATTCCCATGAATTAAAATTCCAAAGTTGCATAGTAACTGTTATTTGTGTGAATATTATCGTTGTTAACATTCCCTTATGTGCAACCTTGTACGGCCCCATGGCTTTACTGTTGGGAATCACTCATTTTCAATCCCCCAACAAGATTACCTGTGTGACTTTGACCACTTTGATCATTCCCTTTCCCATAAAAAAAAAAATTGACACTGATACCGCCGGTTATTACTTTGTATAACAAAGTTACAATTTTGAAAAGAAAAATTACAATTACTTAAGGGAGATTATAATCGATCACAAACACTCATGATCGATAATGAAAAATGCAGTATCAATCTCAACCTTCTATGATCGATTAAGTCCTTTAAAATTGTAATTTACCCTTAAAAAATTATAACTTTCGATATCAGAACTGCTGTCAATACCATAGAAGTTCCCAAATGTGTATGTAACTGGATAATGTCGGTGTATGTTAAATCTACTAAAAATTTTCTCGCTCCTCGAGTGTAAGCATTTTTCTTGAATTTTCTAGGTTCTCATTTCAGGGTTTCAAGGTAGAAGAGTGTTGCATGGAGATTTTTGCGTTGAATAGAACTGTTCTATATTTTTGTGTTGTTAATAAGGTAAGATTTGTTTTGTGAGCAGTGACCACCAACATATTGAATATGATGGAGACAAATGGAAACAAGGGGGGTAGAGTAGGACTTTCTATGCCGTCTTTTTGTGAAGCATGCTCGTGAACTTTGGAGCCCTCTCGTGAGCCCCATGCACATGGTGGTTGGGATTTCTTTTTGTTTCATTTTGGATTTGGCATGGCACCATCCTGCAGCTACCAAACAACCCATCTATATTCTCTAAGGTAAAGTCCATTTCTTGGCTCGACAGTAAAGTTGTTCAATTGTAATATGAACATAACGAGATCANTGTATATGAGTTTGCCAATAATGCAAGCTATTAAAGCCATTGACTCAGAGCAGGCACGTGATCCGCAATCCAAGGCTGGTACACTACCACGTGATGCCTAATCTATGCTTTATGTACACATGTATATTTGTTTTTGAAGTTGGAAACTTCATAGATCCACAGGGCCCTGTTATAACATTAGTACATTCTTGTACGTGAGAAGGTCTGTTGGTGAAAATAATAAGATTGGGATTAATCAAAATTCCATTCAAATTTGTGTTTGATTTAAAAATCTAATGTTGATATCCGATAATTCTCTTCTCATAATTCATATTTAGATTTGTTAAAATAAAAAATTTGATTTGTTTCGAATAACTTAATTGAAATTGGATTTTAACATTTTATTGTGCATTGATGCTTATTAGGCCTGTCAAAATTCAACACGATACGATTAACTAATATGCATTGGCACAGATCTAAGTGGGGTTGGGTGAGGTCTTATAGGTTTTGGATGGTAAATGTGTAGTTATTAACTAAATCAGTTTTTAAAAAAATTAATAATAAATTTCAAAGAATGTTCAAGCAAACGGGTCAAATGGACGATGGGTTAAAAGAGGTATCATGTTAATTTGATCTTACCCAACTNTATTGGTATTCTGGGAAGGACAAGAGATCTGGGGAGTCTCATCCACTGTTGTTTTTTTGTATATGAGTTTGCCAATAATGCAAGCTATTAAAGCCATTGACTCAGAGCAGGCACGTGATGCGCAATCCAAGGCTGGTACACTATCACGTGATGCCTAATCTATGCTTTATGTACACATGTATATTTGTTTAAAAATCTAATGTTGATATCCGATAATTCTCTTCTCATAATTCATATTTAGATTTGTTAAAATAAAAAATTTGATTTGTTTCGAATAACTTAATTGAAATTGGATTTTAACATTTTATTGTGCATTGATGCTTATTAGGCCTGTCAAAATTCAACACGATACGATTAACTAATATGCATTGGCACAGATCTAAGTGGGGTTGGGTGAGGTCTTATAGGTTTTGGATGGTAAATGTGTAGTTATTAACTAAATCAGTTTTTAAAAAAATTAATAATAAATTTCAAAGAATGTTCAAGCAAACGGGTCAAATGGACGATGGGTTAAAAGAGGTATCATGTTAATTTGATCTTACCCAACTAGATTTGTTTTTTAAATGGGTCAAAGAGTCGTGTTTTGTAACCCACTTATTAACGAAAATTGTCTTTGATTTGACGATTTTCACCCGTTTATTTAAACATGTCATGTACGGATTTATTTATTTTTCACACGAATTTGATTAGACTTAACTCGAAACCGTTTAATCTGACACAGTTGACACCCCTAACGCCTATATATATATATATATATATATATATATATATATATGTAATTTAGATCAAATCAAAATTGAATTAAATCGAATATCAATATATCCAAGGAGGAATCTGTATAACAGCTTCTGCGGATTCTCAGCCAAAAAAATTATCTGTATTATAGCCCCTGAACACGTGAGGAATTTCAAGCTCCTTTGGGTGAGGCCCCAGCTTAGGGGCTGGGTGGGGACAATACTGTGGTGTACCTTGGATAAGTGGTGTCTTAACTAAGGGCTCTGTGGAGTTGATTGAAATATCATTGCATGTGGAAAAAAAAAAAAAAAANGCTTCTGCGGATTCTCAGCCAAAAAAATTATCTGTATTTAACTAATCAAATTCAAATCAAAATATATTCCATTGACTTACTTAATGCCTAGGGGTATAGCCCCTGAACACGTGAGGAATTTCAAGCTCCTTTGGGTGAGGCCCCAGCTTAGGGGCTGGGTGGGGACAATACTGTGGTGTACCTTGGATAAGTGGTGTCTTAACTAAGGGCTCTGTGGAGTTGATTGAAATATCATTGCATGTGGAAAAAAAAAAAGAAAAAGGACTATGGTTTATACCAATAAGGGATGTGGATTTGTATATAATCATGTCAAGCAAATACTTCAGAAGAAGAAAACCTGACTTGGGCTCTTAGAAACATGACTGGTACCAGCCTGCCATTACTATAATACTTCATTTGTTTTCAGCAAGGTGGTTCCCCATTTCTTTATCAACCCTTTTTTCTTATTAGATACTTTGCATATGGCAAGTTGATTATGAAGAAATACAAACATTATCACTGTCTAATAGTAAGATGCAAACTTACATAATAATACTATTCTCATTAAAATGAATTTTTAAAATTTTCAAGTGTATTACATGATTGATCATCGAAATTTGATTCAGTTCAGTCTCTCTGTATAGAAGTATATGTCATCTGGAACTATTACTGAAATTTAACTTGGGCATTTCGGAGTCTCAGAGCTCCTCCAACCGCATAGAATACTAATTATCTCTCCTGTCAATCTATTTCACTTACTATATTGCGTAATAGGAACCACCTATAGGAAGACAAGTTAGAGCTCAGTATGAATGAGGTACTCTTCGGTTGATTTTGCAAGATCAGCCTCTTTTCTATTGTCAGATGAAGTCAGGCATTCAGCTGAAGGTTGCACATAACCATAACCAAAGCCAGTGGCAGAGTTGCAGTAGGTCTCAACTGTGCCATCCGTCTTCTCTAAGTTGATGTTGTTCAGCACTATGTGGCTGCAAGGAACTGTGTCACTGCATGCAAATTTCATTGCTTCTTCGCTCCTTGAAGTCCCACTAATATTTCGATACATGATTTGACTTATCTCCACAGCAGATGTCTAGGCAATCAATAGAAACACAAGTTTAGATTTCTGTAGGATACAGATATAATGACTAAGGTTGTATCATGTATGTCTTACACAGATTCCTGGTTTTGTCTAATGAAGATGTTGGGATACTATCTTTCTGTTCAGTAATCATATATAGACACAGGATTGAAGGATATGGACTTGGATATTTTACCTGGTTTTGACATGTAGTTGGGGAATCACAATAGAATTGGTCAATTATGATGGGATTTGAAACATTTTCCATCCTTACATCTTGATACCGTACTGATCGAACATAACCAGATCCTCCCTGTACCAGAAAATCAGGAAAATAGGAACTCATATCATTCTCACACAAAGGGGTCTACCATGCATCATATAATTTAAAATGGATCAGAGAGAGGGTCAAAAAAAATTATTTCTTGTAAAAGGTATCAATACTGATAAGTTTTCTTTCCTTGTGAAATGAATCAACAAACACTTTCTTGGTGATTGATATTTGGCCGATGACAAGAAAATTGGCAAAAAACTTATTTCTATAGGCTGTCAATTATGCATTACNATGAATCAACAAACACTTTCTTGGTGATTGATATTTGGCCGATGACAAGAAAATTGGCAAAAAACTTATTTCTATAGGTTGTCAATTATGCATTACGCACAAATTTGGTTAAACATGGCTACTCAACAGAGCAAGTGGTCGAGAGTTAACAAACTGATGTTTACAAGGTCCACANAGAAAACTTATTTCTATAGGCTGTCAATTATGCATTACACACAAATTTGGTTAAACATGACTACTCAACAGAGCAAGTGGTCGAGAGTTAACAAACTGATGTTTACAAGGTCCACAAAGGAACCATTGTGTAAAAAGAGGGTTGAATTGGTGGTATCACAAACTTGTGAAAAGTAACCTATTTTTTCATAATGGACTACAAAACTACCTGCCAAGTCTTAATCCGGAGGCCATTCATTGTTCCTCTGAGGAATGCTGTATCCAAGACTATCTTTGAGACTATGCCTGTTGAGTTGTCCTTCCCGAGGCTTCCGATGCTGGTATATCATAATATTGCACAATTTAAAGATTGGGGATGAAACTTAGAACAACAAAACAACAGATTCTTCAGAAATGTTCACTCCTTTCAGAAGTTTCACCCTTATAAGAAATTCTAGTGGCTATAATAAAATAGAAGATAGAATGATAACCAATAATGCACAGCATTACGCAAGTGGAAAAAAATTGTCATCTAACACACCTGATTCCATGACCAGGTCCACAGTAGATTGACTTCATCTTGATATTTGAGCTACCATTAACAATTGAGATGCAGTCATCCCCTAAACATCAGATGCAAGATCATCATATAATTCAGTCTCCTTTGAATATATCCTTAGAAAATCAACCACCAATTTTGGGTGAGGTAGACGAGTTCTCATTCATAATAACTATGCAATGCATATGGTAGATGACTATGAAATGTACAAAAGTAAAATTTCGCCATTGATTTTAATTTTTTAATTGCAACATCTTGGGCTAATTTGCTGATACAGAGAGAATATTGTATTAATTAAACAAGCATTGGTTGGCTCCATATTTGTTATGATCATCAGATAATTATCAAGAATGGAGTGGAAATAGAGTAAATCATATGTTCAAAAAAGAAAAGCTGGTGCAGTATGAGAACCTGTTCCAATTTTGCAGTTCTGGACAACAACATTTGTCGATCCAGTGATATGTATGCCATCAGTATTCGGACTGTTTTCTGGAGCAGAAATTAGTATGTTAGACAGCCGCACTGAATCTGATTTGGAGATGACAAGGTGCATCTGTTGGCTGTTTTGAATAGTAAGGCCTTTAACCTTCACAGCTGAGCTTGANGACTGTTTTCTGGAGCAGAAATTAGTATGTTAGACAGCCGCACTGAATCTGATTTGGAGATGACAAGATGCATCTGTTGGCTGTTTTGAATAGTAAGGCCTTTAACCTTCACAGCTGAGCTTGAATCTATTGTTAATGCCTGCAATCATATCTTATTGTTAGCAGTTAAGTAAAAACCACAGTTATTAGTTGTGCCTTATATAATTTGAATGGGTTATTTTTTACTATCCATCATAGAGGGATCAGGTCCTTACAGTTGGTGCTCCTTTGCAAGGCTGTAGAAGGGGCAACAAAAACAACAATAAGTACAGAACCAGGATGTTATGTTTTATTGGTTACAAGTACACAAGTCATTCAGCACACTTACATTTGACTTGTTCCTTTTGCAAGATGCTGCCCACCATTTGCTGCCTGAGCCATCAATTACTCCATTGCCTTGGAAAAGGACACCAGTAAGATTGAAAAAGTCCAGCCAAATTCTTTGGTATTTTGTATCCCACTTTTTGGGCTCATCTGGTGCTAAAATTGTTCCTTCAATCTGTAGCGAATCATATAGATGATGGTTGTGATAAATAATCATTAAACATTGATGCCTGTGCTCACTCATCATAGTCTAGTATGAAATAGAACTAGATGCTACTCTGGTCGTATGATCTACTATTTACTGGAAACTCATAAAGAAAAATGCAAAATTGGAGAACAGAAAATTAAAGAAAAGAATAAATTATACAGTAGGAGTTTACCTGGACGACTAACTTGTCAGCACAGGGCCCTTTAAATCTTGTTGCATTAACTAAATAACGGCGTCCTTGGGGAACCAGGAAAACGGAATTTGGTGTAGAGCAAGCTTGTTTCCATGCATCAAAAAAGGCCTAATGACAATTATATGGCCAATGAGTCAAGCTCAAATGGCAGTAACTTTTGATTAAATGATGAATACTATGTTGAATTGACTGCTCCATTCATTCTTGCTTTGGATTTATGTCCACAATAATATTCATTTAAGTAGCTGATTGAGCTAGTATTCTATCAGGTGATGGCTCTTTATCAACTATTTTCTGAGCTAAGGGTCAAATCTGGTTACAAGTTGAAGAGTTTACATGAATTATGAAGTTGTATGGTCAAATGTGAATTTATTCAAATTTGATCAGAAATTACATAAACAATATTAATACAATTTACTCACCTGGGTATCATCTGAAACTCCATCTCCAACCGCACCAAAGCCATCAACATTCACAAGAACCTTGCTGCCACGTTCACTTGTCCATGAAGGTAAGTCAAAGAGTTCCATTTCATCTCCTTCTTGTATGTCCAAATTCTCAAGGTTTCCAAGAATGTTAATGTCGTCAGGTAAACTTCTTTCTGCAGTTCCATGAGCCACTATGAGCAAAGCAAGAATGGAAAGAAAGAAGATTTTGTCCATGATTTAATGCGTTCAGATGGTTTTGTAAGATTGCTTGATCTATGTAATCAATAATAGTAGACAAAATATATTAATTTATATATGCAGATTAGTTTCAAAATGGTGGGTTTTGTGGGGATATAAAGCTTGGCTTGGAAGTAGATGAAGGTGCTATATTTTCTACATGCCTACACTTCAAGTGTAAGAATATTTTTGTGGAGTCCTTTGCTTCACTCTTCAACCAGTGGCCCAGTCCACTAACAGGCACTATTCAAAAATGTGTCTACTTTTCATGAACAAACACCCCCAACGTTTTTCTGTCGTGCAATCCATCCGAGATTGCACAATCAGATAATCTACATGAATATATGTTCAAGATACAGTATCACAAAAGAAAGAATTTGTTAATTATTTGGTTAGACCAAACAGGATGAAAAATTGCATCTTATAAATCCTGTTTGTTATCACCCATAGCCACCACCATACTAATTCTGTGTCTTCCTTGCAGAAGTCCTCAGGAAGAGGGATACCCACATTTTATCAGGGATGTTTAGACACAACGGATAATCTGCAGGGGCATATTTCCAGTGCACAATAGTAAACTTTGACAGCAATCATTCACCTCAATTAGACAGTATTGCCATGGCAAGCTCTTTAATTTGANCCCCGGGGGGCCGCGACCCTGGATCATGCTGTAATCAACCGTTTTAATTTTGACAATTTTTTCCATTTTTGTTTGAATAATTTTCAATTAATTCTTACCTGACCACCTTTAAAATGGAGAAAATTTATCACAAAGGTTTCACGTGACTTAAAATTAATCAAAAGCCCACAACTATTTTTATCTCAATATTTGCTGTGAAAAAGAAAATTCAAAAATAAAAAGGTCCAATTCTCTGCACAAAAATTCGATAAGTTCCTCCGGTGAAACCCAACCCCACCCTCAAGCAACTAAATCCCATAACTCTTAATTTTTCAATTTTTGTAATTTCTTCACCAAAGAAAACATATCTTTCCGCGAAAAAATCTCCTATTGAAAAAATCTCTTATCTAGTAATTGAACTTGAATCTGCCTTATCACGTTCCCTCAAACTTGGTCGGGGGTCAAGGCAAAGGCCAAATTTGTTTCTCAAATCCAAAAACAAATTCTTGGACAACGACTTGGTGAAAATATTAGCAAGTTACTAATGTGAAGGAACAAAACGTGTCTCAAGGGATCTGAGGGTAGTTTTTTGCGAACACAGTGATAATCCAACTCAATATGTTTTGATAGACCATGAAACTAGATTGATTGTCATATGTAATGCACTAATATTATCATAATCTAAGAGAGGAGGTTTGTGACAGAAAGATGTCTAGGTCATGAAGTAAAAATGTTAACCATGTGAGCTCGGCAGCGGTGGAGGCCATTGACTGTATATTCAACTTCTACATTAGATCAGGAGATTGTGGTTTGCTTCTTAGCACTCCAAGAAATACAGTTACCACAAAGGAAAGTACAAAACCCAGTATCAGAGCGACGAGTAAAGGGACAACCGGTCTAATCAACATCAAAAAAGGTATATAAATTAAGAGTGCTAGAGGAAATGATGTGTAAACCAAAATGAGTTGTGTCATGGAGATAGAGTAAAATACGTTTGACAAGTTTGTAATGTTCCATGGTTGGCGCATGCATGAATTGACAAACAAAGTTTACACTATAAGAGAGGTTAGGTCGAGTAAATTTGAGATATTGCAGACCACCCACAATACTAAGAGAGTGAATGGGATCAAGAAATGGGACAGTCGACAGAGATTGACTTCGCCCTTTGGAGGGCATGGGTGTCGTGATGGGTTTGCAAGCACCCATAGAAGCATGATGAAAATGATCTAAGGCATAGCGGGTTTGGGAAAGGTTGAGACCCGAAGCAAGCTTATGGACTTTTATTCCAAGAAAATGATGAAGAAAACCCAAGTCTTTGAGTGAGAGTTCACCAGCCAGTTGAGAGATAAGCCAATTAATCATGTAATAATCATATCATCAACATACAACAAAAGGACAAGGATTCCCGAAGAACAGTGACGGATGTAGTATGGGGGCAACTGCCCCCACTGAAATTTTAAAAAAATTTGGGACCTAGGTATAATTTTAAAAATTTCAAGAATTTCTTAAACTTGCTTGCACATAATTTTTTTTAAAGTATAGGGCATATTAATATAATTTTCAGCTACCCCTACTAAAAATTTAAAAAATTTTGGGACCTAAGTGTAA